AATGTGATTATATCATGCGATATGTGATTATATTACTACCAAAGTGATTATATCATTTTGAAATTGTTATGTAAATGTATAACTCAAAAGGTGAATTTATCATTATAAAAAGTACTATCAAATAGTAAATTACATCATTCAAAACATGATTTTTAAATTTTATCATCCTAAAGATAATTATATTATCTCATTAAATGGTTTAATATGAGATTATATAATTCAAAATGTGATTCACAAATAGATAATTATATTATCTAAAAAAGTGATTATATCATCCAGAATGTGATTATATTATTTGAAAGTGTCAAATTTTGGGTCTACAATAATTTACTGTAGACCGGGTCCATACAAGACCAATTGAGTCAAAGGAAGATGTGTGAATAGTTTTAAAGTAAAAACATGTCAACTAAATAAAAACGGAGGTAGTATTTATCTAAGATTAAGAAATCATTCTTTTGAAATTTTGTTAGGGACAACCTTTTATAAAACAATTTTTGTCTGGGGCAACCTTATAAAATTTTTTTGGCAAAATCAGACCACTTTAAAAAAAATTTTTGTAAAGGAAGACCAAACCCCACTTTCAGGCCATTGACCACCGGATTCCGGCGTTGACCTCCACGTGACAAGCACGTGCTCCACTTTTCTTCTATTTACACCCCTTTTCCCTCCAATTTTCCCACGTAAAAACCCCTCTCTCTCTAATTTGCTCGTTCTCTCTCTCATCCTTTAATTTTTTGCAAAAATGTCATCTCAATTCCTCACTCATTAATGGCAGAGACAATTTCCCCTATTAAATCGTCAACCACCAAGTAAGTTCAAAATTTAATTTGCTCAGTGTTTCAATTGGGAAAGTTTTCCTTTTTGGGTAGGTTTTCCTCCATCTCTAATCTTCTTCTTTTTGCCATGGGAAAGCAGAGGAAACGTGTTGGTTCATCAAGAAAAAGGAAGAAGAAGAACACTAATTACATTATAATCGACAAACCCAGGTACGAATTCAACTGTAATTATCGAAATTTGTAGTCGTTTTTTGGGGATAAAAGTAGTTGTGTGGTTCTATTGCATGTGTAGTTTATAATTAATTAATTGTCTTGATTAAGATTTTGATGATGCATGTGTATTGTTGTTTACATTAATTTATTGATTAATTAATTAATTAATGTTGAATTTGTGTTGGGAAATTTCTGGCAAACCCTAATTTCAAGGTAGTGAATATTGTGTTTTGGTTTGTTTTAGGTTTAATACTAAATACACTGTGATAAGACTGATGGAGCCCATAGATATTAGATTGTATTATGGAGGGCAGTTTGTGACCAAAAATAAGAAAACCACTTATGAGAGGGGGAACAGTGATTACTTTGGTGTTTCTTTGCATCCTAATGTAGAGGAAGTATGCTATTTTGAGTTTGTGGAATGGATTAAGGAGTTAAAATATAGAGATGTGGGGGAAATATGGTTTAGGAGACATGGTTGTAGCTTGAGTAATGGGAGGAAACAAATTAAGGGAGATGCTGATGTACCTGAGTTCTTAGATGCTCCTGAAAGTGATGGTTGGTACCATCTGTACTTAGTGCATCCAGTGAAGGAGAAAGATAGTGCAGCTTTGGGGGGTCCACAACCTAACATAGTCAGCACCAATGTGGAAAGTGTGGGAGGGAGCAATAGTGGAGGGAGCAAAAGTGGAGATTTAAGTGGACCACACACCTCAAAGAGGGGTCCACAAGCCAAAACACTCAGCACATGTGGTCAAAACTCTCAAATTGAAAAGGGTGGGAAGCTTATCACTTTGGAATCTCAGTCCAGATTTGAGACCCCATCCAGCTTCTTTTTCTATCCAAAAAATTACTCACCTCTCAAAAACTTTCCCAGCCCTTCCCCTTCTTTTCTGAATGTTGCTCCAAATCAGGACAACTCACTCTCAATCACCTCACCCAAACCTCAGGCAGTGAACCATCCTTGTTTCAGTTCACACACTGATAGGCAAAAGCTACCTACAACCTCAGCCACAAAGAAGAGACATGGAGAGAGATCTAGACCCAGTGAGTTGAACATAGGGCATCCTACTCATACAGAACATTCTTTGAGGAGTGGGGAGGTTGATGGTGAAGATGATGGTCTTGGGTTAAGGACTTCTGACACTGATGACAGTGAAGACAGTGATGTTCTTTTGAGTGAAAATGATTATGAAGATGATAGTGATGATGATATTTTCCAAGAGCATGTTGATCATGATATAAGTGAGAAGGTTACAAGGAGTTTAGGTGGTAGAGTAGGTAGTGAAGCTAATGTGGGTGGGGATGATGATGAAGAAGATGATGCTGAACCAATTGGTGGGGATAATGATGCTGAGTTGATTGATTCTGATGATGATTTGGATAGCATAGTTGGATCTGACGAGGAGGGGCCAGATTACCCTATATTTAATCCTCAAGTTGACTTCAAAGGGAAGATTGTCTTAAGCAAGGGTTTGAAATTTCCTTCAAACATTATTCTAAGGAAGGCTGTGAGGCACCATGCTATAGACAATGGGTACAACTATTACTTTCTGCATAACAACAAAAGCAGGGTGACTGTGTTTTGTGCAAAGAGGTGTGGCTGCCCTTGGAAAAAAGGTAGGATCTTGCAGTGCACATGCAAAGAAAAGAGGAAGTGTAAGTTCAAGATCCATGCTAGGAAGATTAAAGATGAGGAGACATGGCAGATAAAGAGGATAAGGGCTGAACATATATGTGGCCATCAATACTACAACCCTAGAGTGACATCTCAGTACTTGGCTGAGAGATACTTAGAGGATTGGAAAGATGACCCTAGTTGGAAGTTGAAACACTTCATAAAAAGGGTGAGAAGAGAAGTGAAAGTTGACATAGGATACTACAAGGCATATTATGCAAGAGTAAGGGCTCTGAAAATGATTTTTGGTGATGCTAGTGAGGAGTATAAGAAGGTGTGGGATTATGCTGCAATAATCATCAAGTATAACCCTGGTAGTACTGCTGTAGTGAAGGTTGATGGGATAGAAAAGCCACCTCCTTTGTTCCAAAGGTTGTATGTCTGTTTACAGGCATGTAAGGAGGGTTTTATTGCTGGTTGTAGGCCCATTATAGGGGTTGATGGGGCACACCTCAAGGGCCCTTATCCAGGCATCTTACTTACTGCAGTGGGCAAAGATGGGAATAACAATATATTCTCTGTGGCATGGGCAGTGGTGGAGATTGAGAATACAGAGACATGGTCCTGGTTCTTGGAGTTGTTGAGAAATGACATCATTTCTGTTGCTGATTCAGTTACTTGGGTGCATGAGGATGAACTTACCTATATGTCTGATAGGCAGAAGGTAATGTCCTTATTCCATGTCTTTTGTTCTTTGTGCTTTGTTGGTGACTTAGTTGTACTGAAATTTGGTGTCCCATTGTTGCAGGGATTACTTGAAGCATTCAACACTGTTATGCCAGATGCAGAGACAAGATATTGCTGTAGGCATATCTGGACAAATTTCAAATCCAAATTCCCTGGGGTCATATTCAAGGAGTACTTCTGGATGGCTGCTAGATCAAGCACAAAGGTAATGGGCTTACTCTTGAATTCTGTTTTTGAGCTTGCATTCATACATGGATAACTTTTTGTCACTTGTATTCTTACACTTTAAAAATGTAACAGCATCATTTCAATGCTCACATGAACAAAATAAAAGAGTTGAATCAAGAGGCTTATGAGTACTTGGCTGCAATTCCAACCTGTCATTGGTCTAGGCATAGTTTCAGCTCAACATCTAAGTCTGGTATGCTGCTCAATAACTATTGTGAGTCTTTTAATAATGTGTTGAGGGAGGCAAGATCAAAACCAATTCTTCAGTTAATGGAGTGGATAAGGAGATATGTTATGCAGAGGTTATGTTCTAAAAAGGAAGGAATAAGGGGTTATGATGGTAAAATAATGCCTTCAGTGATGAAGATGATTAACAGAGGGTATGATGAGGTGTCTAATATGAGAGTTATGCAGGCTGACTTGTATGAGTTTGAGGTTGACCATGAGGGGGACACTTTTGTTGTTAACTTGGAGAACTAAGAATGTGGCTGCTACAGATGGAAGCTGATGGGCATTCCATGCTGGCATGCTTTAGCATGTATAAGGATGTTGAGGTTGAACCATGAAGACTACATTCATCAAGCATATCATGTGGAGACATATAAAAAAGCTTATGCACCAGCATTCAGGGCTATGCCAGGACAGACTCAGTGGGAGGTCACACCATACCCTGCTCCCTTGCCTCCACCTTACAGAAAAATGGCTGGCAGATCAAGCAATAAAAAAAGGATGAAGGAGCCAGGTGAAGATGCTGAAAAAATGTTAAAAGGGCCAAAAAGCCAAACAGGTGCAGTGGGTGTCGTGGCCTAGGACATTATGTGAATAAGTGTTCTAAGCCAGTTGATGGAGAAGGAGGGACCACTTATGCTCAAGCTCATGCAGCAGCAACGAAGGCAGTAGCAGAAGCAAAGAAGGCCCAAGCTCAACAAATTAAAGTGCACCAGCTCCTAGAAGAAGTGTCAGGAAGAAAGCACCAGCACCAGAGCATGATGAAATTGTGTTAACTCAGCCAACACAACCTTCACAACCTCAGCATGATGAAGCCTAAATGTAGTTCTGTCCTAATTTTTATGTGTTAGCTTTACTTTACTAAACATTAGCTTATTTTGGATACTTTTGGTGTATTTAAAGGTTGTGGCCACCCAAAATATTTGTGTTAATGTTGTGCACACCTATGTATGGTGTTTGACAGATTTCCATACATCTATTCAAGCTAATGTTCTTTTGCATCTTAATAATGTGCTCATCATGTGTCAAAAACTTGTGCTAATCATGTGTCAAAAACTTCTGCTTTATGTGTCAAAAAAATGGAAAATTTTGCAACAAAATAAGGATCATCATTTCATTCAACCACTAATAAAGGTTCACAATACAATATTCTAAGCAAAATGCCATTATACCAAATACAAGTTCAATAACTAACCAAAAAGCTTAACAATACAAAAACTAACAACAACTGACACAATCACACAGGTTACAAGTAGCTTGTTCCTTGAATTTTCTTCTTCCATTAGCCCTATTTCAGCCCTGTTCTTCCTGTTCTTCAGCATATTAAGTTCAGAAGCAAGGTGCCCCTTCTCATGTTCAGTACATGCCAATCTTGTTCTGAGAATACTCAGATCAGTGGAAAGCCTATGCTTTTCTGCTATGAGCACATTAGTTCCATCCCTCTGCCAATCTAGAATTTCCTCGTCCACCCATTCAAATGTATTACAACCTCTTTGCCCTGTTTCGTGGTTGAAGAACTTGCAAGCAACAAATTTTCTACCTGGATTGTCATGGGTCCATGAAGTCCTTCTTGCAACTGGAAACCCACAACCACATCTCTTCTCTTCAAATCGAGCCATAGTGAGTACTAATTCCCTGAAAATTAAGCAACAAACAAACCCCCAATCAAAACCCTAGAATTTTAACTTTAGGCAAAATTGAACAAGAGTTAAGGAATTACTCTCCTAATTGAGACCAATATTCAATTTGTGACCTTTGGATTGCTGATTGACAAAGTGGAATTCAAAATTGGGGAAGAAAATCAGATCTGGAATCAAAATTAGAGAGAGGGGTTTTTACGTGGAAAAATTGGAGGGAAAAGGGGTGTAAATAGAAGAAAAGTGGAGCATGTGCTTGTCACGTGGGGGTCAACGCCGGAATCCGGTGGTCAATGGCCTGAAAGTGGGGTTTGGTCTTCCTTTACAAATTTTTTTTACAAATTTTCCCTTTTTTTAATAGTTTTTTTATTTTTTAATTTATTTTTTATTTTTTTATGAGACAGACAGCCTTTTTGATTTGTCAAATAAAGTAGTGTATTAAAAAAAAGAAAAAGTTACCCACCAAAAACCTAGATCTGTCCTGTTTTTCTCTCACTCACTCAGTTTCACTTGAAGTGCACTCAACTCAACGTTCTCCATTGAAGCGATTTCTATCTTCCATTGAAGCAGCTTCTGAGGTAAGATGTTCTTTCGTTTTTGTAATCATCATATATCAATTTCACAATGTAGGTTTTTATGATTAATTTAATTCTCAGTATGCTCAATTTAGGGTTGTAATTCGAAACTCGATTTTTGAACTAATTGAGTTATAATTACTAATCTAGAGTATAATTATTAGCTTAATTTGGTGTTTGAGTCTAATAATTTGCCTTTATTTTTAGGATGTAGCTATGAATTTGTACCTTTTCCACTAAATTTATGAGCTTTGTTTGATAGTTGAATCAAAATTTTGTTGCTAATGTGTTGTAGAAGCCTTTAATGAAACTGGGGCATTTTTCTGTGGGCCCGAGGCGATTGCCCGGGCTCAGAGACGGACCGGTTCAGCTCGACGAGGATGTGGAACAGTGGCCACATTTGCATGAACTTGTGCAATGCTACAAAGCTGATTGGATTAAAGATGAAAATAAGTATGGGCATTATGAGAGCATTGGTGCTACTAGTTTTCGAAATCAGATATATGAAGGGCCTGATACTGACATTGAAACAGGTGAATTCAATCGACATCGAATTGAACAAACACATTGTTTAATGCAATGCTAAAAACCACATTAATGTTTTTAGTTTTTTTTTCTTTTAGAGATGCATCTAGCTGAGGCCAGACAAATTGAAAATGAAGATGCTGCTGATGAAGAATCACCAAGCACATCCGGAAGACCGTTTGGAGAGGTGTCGTATCAATGTATATTGTGTGCTAATTAATGCTTTGTCATTATTTAATGTGATTTTTCTGGTGTTTGTGTAGCATCTTGGTTTGTCGCCGTTGAGTGCATATGAACCAGCATTTGACTGGGAGAATGAGAGGTCTATGGTATTTGGTCAAAGGCTTCCAGAAACTCAAGCACAATATGGAAGGTTTGACGAGTTTACTTTCCTTGATTGTTTCCGTTATTTACTCACTGTTATAGCATTACCTTTCTGTCTTGTATGATTGTGATTGATCTGTTGTGTTGTGCTCTCTAGTGGATTGAAGATCTCTGTCAAAGTTCAGTCCCTTATGTTTCAAGCTGGATTAGTTGGTGAGTGACGACTCTTTATATTGGTTTAATTTAGTCTTTAGGGTAGAATACAACTTTTTATTTCTCAGAAACAGTGACTTTATTTTCCAATTTGTTTGACTGCCCAACTTCAATACATGTTTTTAAAACTCAATTTGCATGTATCAAACTTATTAAGCTCGATATGGTTAACATAAGAATCATTAATGTTTTCACTCATTAATGTTTTCACTCCTAATGTTTTCACTCCTAGTGAAAATTGTAAATACCATCTTTTCATAACATTTTTTGATGTTTTCACTCCTAGTACCATGTTAACATTAGAAAATTGTAAATACCATGTTACTACCTCCATCCTTAAATAGTTGGTATAGTTAATGCAACACACTCATGTGCTCAACCCATATGATATGGGCGAAGCAGAACTTAGTTTTGAAGAAATAGTAATTATTGCAACACGCTCATTTGCTCAACCCATATGATATGGGCTGAAGCAGAACTTAGGTTATGAAGAAATAGTAGTTATTGCAACACACTCATGTGTTGACCCATAAGATATGGACTGAAGCAGAACTTAGGTCATGAGGAAATATTACCTCCCCTTTTATGACCAAAGAAATAATACAAAGCCAAAACATCTAACTCTATATAACCTGTCATATTCTTTAATCAATCAAACAAAACGAAAACTGAAAATTATAATATAAAGTTTCTTTTCATGTCTTTAAAATTTGATTCAAACTCACACAAAATTATGAACACTTGAACATACTCATATTTATCCAATCCTCGATTATCATACTCAAGTACTTGTCAAACAAGTCATCTGCCTTCAACCCCGCGCAAAAGGTAAACAGGAGATGCACTTAGTTGATTTACAGCACTCGAATCTAAAATACATCATAACAAGGTTTTATTTTATTCATGTTTAGCTATCTAAATTTTAAATTCATGTACAGCAAACACATTTTTTGATGTATCTTTTCATAACACACTAGTACTTAATTCCTTTTCATAATAGGATTACTCTTTCAAAGCCTTTATCCAAATTATTTTATGTATAAATACTTAAACTTAAATTGCTACCATGATGAAGTACAATGTTTCCAATTTGTCATTTCACGGTGGTGTAATGTAACCACAGTAAGTTGCTGCTTTCGCCATTCCCCACTGAGTGATATCTTATTCTTCACTAATATCCTTATTTAGCAATTTGTTATTCCGTTTACTTATGTAGCTTCTTGGAAGTTGGAATGGTCAATGTCTTATTATCTTAGTGCTATACTCAACTATGAAAATTCCTCTTTTAATTTGAATTTATTTCCTTATTTTCTGTTTCTTTTGTTCCATTGGTGAAATCTATTGGCAGTGGTCGAAAGTTTGGTTTTGAAGGAGTCTCTGGCTGAACTACATTCATTGTTCTCATTTTATGTTTTACTATGTCTCTACTGTATGGAATGTCCTTAGCTCAAATGTTCGGAGGAATCAATCAAATCCTTAATTCAATCAATGGAAGACGTTAATTGATTCGTGTTTTTTTTTTTTCTTTTCGTTTTATGTATACATTATGTCTCTAATCTGTAGAATGCTCTTAGCTCAAAAGTCTCAGAAAAGAATCAATGAAAGTGTTCCTAATGTTCATTACTTCATTGACTCAGTTTTTCAAATGTGACGAAGTTTAGAATTGCGGGTTTTGGGCAACACTATTTTATATTCAATCCGTTTTTGCATTGCTAGGATTTATTTATTTATTTTTGGGTAGGAACCTTAGCTTTGGTTGTTTGTATGTCACTCTACACTGCAGTGAAGAGTCTTTTATCTGAATAAGTTATTCTTAACTTAAAAATAAGGCTAACTCTACTTTAGTAGTACTAGACCCACTATACTGTAATGCACAGCTAATTTCTGCTAACATGAAGCCTATTTCTATCAAAATTTAACTTAGACAAGAGTTCAATGGGGCTACTTTTGGCTCTCTTTCCCTACCTTTTTTGTAGTAAGGTTAGGAGCAGGGGAAGAAACAAGGAACCAAAAAAACTCACAATCTCACATTTCCATTCAAAAAGAGGGGTTACCTGAACTTTTCATCGAACAAATATGGGAAAGAATAATGTTGAAAACCTCTTAAAGCAAGCTCTTGCTTGAAAAACCATGTAATTTAGTTGACACACCTGCTTGGTGTGAGCCTCCTGAATTAACTTCGTCCTACCTAGTCTAGGATAACTAGTTTCTCTCACTTGCTATCAGAGTGTGGCCGTTGGCCTTTGTAGCCCTGCTGTTATATATGGAAATGCTACCCATGATTAGCTCAAGAATTACAATTTCTTAACCCCAGGAACATTTCATACATAGCCACTGATCCCACACTTAACCTAGAAATCTTTGGTTGTGTGTCCATTATTCTTTCATAAAACAATTTCATTGAAATGAAGAAAAAAAGAAACAATTGAGAAATTATTTGGAATTTGAATTGCACTATTAAGGTGACAGTATGGAAATTTATGTAGTGTAGAAGTCAAATAAGAGGAGTAATGAAGAAAATGTATAACTTTCTTGGAACCATCTGTATTTTTTTTTCCATGCATCGTTTATCAAAAATATCTAGCAAAGATCGTTTATAATTTTCTTGTGTACTACAAACTATATTATTACTGTTATGTCTTTTTAAATTTTTTATTTGATCTTTGCAGAACCATTCTATGGAACTATTTGCTTGTATAACAAAGAGAAAAGAGAGAAGTTATCAGAGGACTTCATTTTCCAGGTGCTCCCTACAGAAATGGAAAATGTAAGCTGTGGAAGAGCAGTATTGCATTTCAAGCCATGTTCAACATCTTGACACATTGTCATTTTGAATTCTAAAAGTGGAAAGCAAACGAAATTTTATTGTGCATTCCCTTCCAGAATTATATTCTTTATCCAAGTCTGCATTTCTTGAGTAAGCTATGAGAATCTTCCAGACACTTACTGCCTTCTTATATTCCACCTGTTTGCAGTCTGGTATTTCAAATGACTCTCGAGCAATATTCTACCTAGATGCTCCCTCAGCATCAGTTTGCTTGTTGATCCAGCTGGAGAAGCCTGCCACTGAAGAAGGAGGCATCACTTCGTCTGTCTACTCCCGAAAAGAACCAGTGCGTATCCCATCTATTATAAGCTTTGAATTTCTAGATTTGACTTAGAATAATTTTTTTAATCTTTGTGATGCTTGTGCCTTGAGCACATTATTATGTTAATCTTTAATCTTTGACTTAAATAATGCTTTTCTTATTTTCAGATACAGCTTAGTGAGAGAGAGAGGCAAAAATTGCAGGTTTGGTCTCGAGTAATGCCTTACAGGGAGTCATTTGCATGGGCTATGGTACC